ACATGCTTATAAAAAAAAGTGTGATTAAAAAAAAAGTCATTCCTTTAATTTACTAAAGTTAATTTTGTTATATATAGCTTATTTAATTATTAAATTGCCATCAATGACATTGCATTTTACTTTWGACTTATTTKGTTAAATATTGAAAGTTTTTGTCACTTGTGCCAGTTTTGGCAATGTGTGTTCCTATTAARTTTAATTCTTTCTTCATAAACAGCATTTCAGTCATATATTCAACTTAGAAATTGAGGTTTGGGACAAGGTTTTTCTCCTCTGGCCAGATATAACTGAAAGTGTTTCCCATTTATGTGAAGTAAACCAAAATGTTATTGGTTGACCAGTACTCCTAAATTGTCTTTCATCAAAATTGCTGGTTTTGTATTTTTTCTGTCTTGTTTTTGTTTTATTGATTCACTTACTGTATTCTCCAATGTAATTAAATAGAAAGACTGAATTAGAATAATAATTTAATGTTTATATAAGGTACAGATATTTTGTTTATTTGTTTTTCATGTATGTTTTCTTTGGCAGTGCTGAGGATTGAACCCAGGACCTCATATACACCAGGCAATTGCTGTAACTCAGGGCCACACCCCCAGTCCAATAGMTAGCCTTTTTTACTTTTCCACTACCTAGTGGTAAGAACACCTTAATAGCCACCCCTAAGTATATCACTACTTCCSTAATGAACCTTCATAAAGGGTGGAATATTGAGGTTGGTTCTTCTGAGCAAATTATGAGGTTAAAAAAAAAATACACACACACACACACATATTTGTATCAGAGATTAAACCCAGTGATGCTTACYCACCGAGCCACATCCCCAGCCTTTTTTTATAGTTTATTAGAGATAGGAAGGACCTCAGTGAGTTGCTTAGGGCCTCACTAAGTTGCTGAGACTGGGTTTGAATTTATGATCCTCCTGCCTCAGCCTCCCAAGTTGTGAAATTACAGGCATGCACCACATGCCCAGCTAAGTTATGCGAATTCTATTACCAAAGAAGTAACAGGGTTTTTATTTATCTTTCATTTCATGTGATTGGTATATTTTTTTATTTCATTGACTTATTACAGACTACTTACTTTGTGTAGAAATAGCTCTCCTGAATTTAATATTTAATTCAATAAAACATATTGAGTACCTGCTACACTTCAGAAACTATACCAGGAACCAGGAATTATTTAAGAAAATCAGAAGCMAAAGTGAAGTACTATATATATTTTATTTTGTTGTTTTGGTTTGGTTTGGTGGTAGGGATTGAACCTTGGGCACTTGGGCTGAGCATGCATTCTGCTGCTGAGCTACACCCCCCAGCCCTGGTTTATTTTTTAATTCAGGACAAATTAAGGAATGTGTGGSTATCCTTTGGGAACTTAGGGTAGAATAAGAAATGATTTTTTTTTCATTATAATTATGCTTATATGCCAAAAAGCTTTTTTTTTGTGTTAACTAGGTATATTTAATGACTCTTCTTTTTAGTGAACAATGGTATTTATTAGCTTAGAGTAAGTTTCAGCTCATTTTTTTACTAAGATAGTAGAAAACTTTGGTTTGACTTTTTAATATATCTGTGAATCACATTAAGGACATTGGTTCCAGGTGTTTAATTATTAACGTATCATTTTCGCTCTCTATGGTAATAAGAGCAAAGGTAATCCCGCCACTTGTCTAGCTACTGGGTCATGGAAAATAACTCATTGATAAAAGAAGCAGAAAGCCTTAACATAATTCTGAGGATGTTAGATCAGAGACCTAACTTATTTTTCTGTTTCTATATCCCATATCTAAATTTCCATTTATAAAATGTTCTTAAAATCTTATTTTTCCTGCTATTTCTGAGTAGCAATCTGCAAGTTTTCCTAAAAGTGATCAGTAGTAAAGCTTGGATTTTTTTCCACCTTATATCCAGGACTGTGTCAGTGTACCTTATATTAAAGGCAGTGTTTTTTGTATCTTTCCTTCTCCTCTCCTCTTTTCCTTTGCTTGATTTTATGAAAACAGTTAGAGCTTATTTTTAAATGTCATGAAAAAACACAACATCCAGACAGAAGGAAGTACTTCAGATAAGAAACTGAAGTACTAATATGTTAACTGTGATCAAGAGGGGATACTTTTAAGTTGGAGATGAAGACTTCTCTTGTTTAAATTTTTTGTATGCAAATAGTGATGGCTAAATTTTCTTTATTGATTATTTGTCTTATAAGGGATTATATTTTTATGTTCTTTTTTTTTTTATGTGTGTGTATTTTAGCCTCTTGTAGAAGAAGCAGTTCCTARTCTTCACAGCCCACCAACCACAAGCACCTCAGCCCTCAACAGCCTGGTGGTCTCTTGTGCATCTGCTGTTGGTGTGAGAGTGGCTGCTACCTATGAGGCTGGGGCCTTGTCTCTTAAGAAAGTTATGAACTTTTATAGTACAGCCCCTTGTGAAACTGGAGCGCAGGCAGGCAGTAGTTCCATAGGCCCAGAAGGTCTGAAAGACAGCAGAGAAGAACAGGTTAAACAGGAGTCAATGCAAGGAAAGAAAAGTTCAAGTCTTGTGGATATCAGGGAAGAAGAATCAGAGGGAGGCAGTCGAAGACTCTCCCTCCCTGGATTACTGTCACAAGGTAAGGAAATAACCAGCTTTGTGAACTGACTTCTGGTGAACTGTAGATGCTATCAGTACTGTATGCTATGTTATAATAAATTAGGTTTTCTGATTATGRAGCTGACATACTCAAACTTTATATAGTTTTATTAAAATGGTGGCTTTAAAAAAAGGGTCACATATATGCTTTGCTTTAGAAATAACTATAGAACATAATTTTTTCTTGATGTCTGCTTCTGCTTATGAACCTTGTTATGAATCTTATTTGTTCTGGAATGTGGCAGTAGCCTTATTTCCTTATTGGGACCTCTACTCTAAATCAATGAGTTTGCAGATAAGAGCATKGGGTAAGTGAATTTTTAAGCTTCAATAAGAGAAAACTTCATTTCTGTAACCATTAGTAATGTGGTTACAGAGTATTTAGAATATTACACAGTTGGGGTTCTTTTGCATTTTTGAATCAGTTTTGTAATCTCAGCTAAGTAGACTTTTGCTTCCTTGAAATGGTCTGCAGACCAATAGCATTAGCATTATTTGGGAACTTGGTAGAAAGGAAGAATCTCAGACTTCTCCCCAAACTTACTGAATCAAAACATGCATTATAACAAGGTACTGAGGTGATTAGTGTGACATTAGTATTTGAAAAGTATGAGGTCAGACTAGAAGTTGTCAAATTTTTTCTGTAAAGAGCCAAAGAGAAATATGATTTGTAGGTTACACAGTCTGTGRTAACTGCTCAACTATGCTGTTGTAACATAAATGCTACTGCAGACAGTCTATAAATGAATGAAGTGCTTATTTCAATAAAACTTTATTTATAAAGACAGACAGTGGGCCTTATTTGATCTATGATCTATAATTTACCAACCCCTGATTTATACCATTTTGTGTAGAGCTCCAAAATTAGAAATCCTAGCCTGACTAAAATTTACCTCTTATGGCCCTGTTCCCTACATTTGATTTCCCACAGTTTCTTGTGCCACTGTGTACTTCTCTTATCCGATCTCCTGATTCTCATTTCCACTAGATTTTTATGTATGATATATATATGATATATAAGAAAGCCCTTGGGTTCTATTAAGTCTGTTGGAGAATTAAAATTTTTTTCATCTTAAATGTCCTTTAGCTTTTAAATATACATAATTTTGAGATCTCTTTGACCCACAGATGTGGAATATTCATTTTGTTATGTCACTAACACATGCTAAGGTCAAATTTTACTTARTAATCTAAAGTATACCTAGAAAAATTTTATTTTTTCTCTCTTTAAAAATTATCTGTGGAGCTGGGTGCGATGGCGCATGCCGATAATCCCAGCAACTCAGGAAGCTGAGGCAGGAGGATCACAAGGTCAAGACCAGCCTCAGTAATTAAGTGAGGCCTTAAGCAACTTTTGAAGCAAGACACTGTCTCAAAATCAAAAAACGTAAAGGGCTGGGGATGTGGCTCATTGGTTAAGCRTCCCTGGGTTCAATAAAAGGAATAGGAAGAAATCAAGAGAAAGGACAGTGTGAACGCTCATCCTGATATTACTGACTTTGAAGATGTACAGAGAGGGTGCCTCAGGGTTCAATGCCCAGTACCAAAAAAAAAAAAAAAAAAATCTGCAGTACATCTTTGAAGAAGCTTCAAGTAGTTTATTTGGGTCTCTATGCTTACAAATTGTACATTAACCAGAAAAGAATGTAAGAAATGATGATCACTTTGTGGTGGCCCACAAGTTAATGACTAAGTTCATGAGTGAATAGGTCTGCACTTAGTGACATTTTGATGATTTTCTTCAAAATTTATCTTGCAACCACATTGGTATATAAGATTTACATAGTGTGGTRTATGTTTGTTATAATTTTGAATACTACAAAGATGGCAGCATCCTTTCAAAAGATTATTTCTCTATAAAATAATTTGAAATATACAGGCAAAATGCAAAAGCTTTTAATACTAACATTTTATAAGCCTTTTTCTACCATACAAGTTTTGAAATTTTTTATCTAAAATAAGTCCTTTAGGGGACTGGGGCTGTAGCTCAGTGGAAGTGCACTTGCCCCGCATGTGTGAGGCACTGGGTTCAAAATTCTCAGCACTGCAAAATAAGTAAGTAAGTAAATAAATAAATAAATAAATAAATAAGTCCTTTATTACAAATGTACATGACTATTAAATCCCCCTTTTTTCAGAGAACCTATCAAAATATTCTTAAAAATACCATGTTAATGTATTTATTTGAAAAATTCTCAATTTTTAATCCCCTAGGATTATCGGCATGCACCACYACACMCAGATCCACAGATAATTTTTAAAGAGAGAGGAAAAATAAAATTTTTCTAGGTATGCTTTAGATTACTAAGTAAAATTTGACCTTAGCATGGAAGTGTGTTAGTGACATGGCAAAATAAATATTCCACATCTGTGGGTCAAAGAGATCTCAAAATTATGTATACTTAAATTATGATACTCTATGAAAACTGTATCTTTTCCCTGGCTCTCTGCTCCTTTATCTTATCTCTGGTTTCTTTTTAGTTTCTCCCAGGCTCTTAAGAAAAGCTGCACGGGTGAAAACCAGGACAGTGGTTCTGACTCCCACATATAGTGGAGAAGCAGATGCCCTTCTGCCTTCTCTGAGAACAGAGGTGTGGACCTGGGGGAAAGGAAAGGAAGGGCAGTTGGGGCATGGCGATGTTCTGCCTAGGTAAGTGCAACAAGCATTTACTGATAAAAGTTGGATTAAACAAATAACTGCCCGAGTATGAAGGTCTCTACATGTCCATTTCCTCTTAGAGGAAATCCGGTCCCTCTAGATCCAGGTTATAATGCACCATTAACTCTGCTAAAAAACAAAACAAACAAACAAACAAAAAACTGTCACTTTAGCCTTGAATTTGCTCCTTAATAATAAGGACTTAAGTATTCATGGTATACTTTTCCATGTCTCCTTTGATGTATGTTGATCTTGGGATTAAAAAAAAAGCAATGTTAAAGATAAGATGATATTTCATTGCATCATTTGAATAGTTAAAATTTTTAACTTATGCAGTAATACCAAGGTTATTTTATCCAAAAGATATCTCTCTGCCACTGTCAAAATAACTATAACTGAAACACTAAACTATGCGTACATCAGGGAAAAACTATCATTATGTTTAATATAAGTATAGAAATGTTTAGCATAAGTATAGAAATACTTATATTAAAAAGTATATATTTGTGAAGCTTGAAGATGTGTAAATGGAATGATTGTCTAAAACAATGGGTTGATATAAATGTCTGTTCTTAGCAGAGTGAAGGATACTATGAAATTAAAAAAAAATTTTTAACTCACCCACTTCTATAGTTATGTTCTACTGTGTCCTTAGTAYACCCTCTGCTATAATGAATCATTTGTAGTTCTGTGGTTCTTAAAATATTCTGACTTATGGGGKTTCATTAGTGTTCAATAGAAAAAATTGAATTAAAAACCTTCTAAAATTATTTATAAAATTTGGAGTAGTGTGAACATATATGTTATTGTTATTTTAATGTTCATTTTTACTGAAAAGCCCCTATAATTTGAGCAAGATCATAATTCTTGCTGAGAATACATTGATTTTGTAATGTTTGTGTGTTTATCTTTAAGGCTTCAGCCATTGTGTGTAAAGTGTCTGGATGGTAAAGAAGTGATCCACCTGGAGGCAGGTGGTTACCATTCTCTTGCACTTACTGCCAAATCCCAGGTAAAAGATAAACCGTTTAAATGCTGATCTTATTTCCATTCCACATAAAGCAAATATGGTTTATTGAGTACCTGCTCTGTCAGGCAAAAATGTCACATCTCATTTAAACTTTTGAATGTATTACATRGTGCTATTTCCATTTTACACAGGAAGAAAGTAAGCTAAGAGAAATTTTGTAGCTTAAGATATTCTTAAATCACAAATGCCAGATAGTAGAGCTTGCATTTAGCACTGGTCTATCTTACCAAGAAGCATTATTTATTTAATGTTGTTTTATATTGTTGATTTGTTCTTTGATGAAGAAAATCCATAGTAATACACAAAAAAAGGGCATTTTTCTTTTGAAATCACGGGACTTGAAAGTGATTTCTGACATTATAAACCTTTCTAAGAAAATAAGTTGTTTTAAGTTATTCTTAAATATATTCAGATAATGGCTTCTTCACCAATTCTCTTAYCTTTTTAAGAAGCCAGTGAAGGACTCTAGCTACCCTCCCTCCCCCTTTCCTATTTTGAAAGGAGTAGGATTTATTCTAATGAGAAGAAAAGAGAACTCTCACAGGGCAAGAGGGGATCTGATAGCAGGTTGTCCTAAACTTTTAAATATTTGATTTTTATTTTAGATTTCACATACCTAACAATTTCTGGAAGAATATATGTTCTCAAAACACACTAGTAATTGTCTTTAAGTGGCTAATTCATCAATGTTTTCCTTTTTTGAACTATCATCACAGTCTTATACAAGGACCATGAATTAYTTTCATGATCACTATGAACAAAAAACATTTTCATTTAACATAATCTTTGTGATCCAGTTTTCAGCTGTCTCTGGTAGACACAGATACTTTTGTTTTTCCTATAGTGACACTGAACTTCATATACCAAAAGCTTTCTGGTCATTCCATAGTTTCCCTTCTGCAGAGCATTTACCTTTTTTTTTTTTTTTTTTTTTATCACTTTCTTTTCAAGTAACTTCTAATGTTGCTTTAAAATACCTGTTATTTTAAAGAGTGAATGAATAATATGAGTAATTATGCATGATTATTGATATATATTAATGATTTGAAAGGTTCAAAATTGATATGCAAGATCAGATTCACAACTCTTATCTCCATTCTTTTGCTTTTCTGGTAGGTTTACTCGTGGGGTAGCAATACCTTTGGTCAACTTGGGCATTCCGATTTTCCAACAACAGTTCCTCGTCTTGCAAAGGTACTTTTCTGAGCTTGATAACAATTTACTCAGACTTCTAAATTATAATGCTTTCATGTTTATTATTTCTAATTACAAAAAAATTAGGGGAATTGTATATTTGTAGCCTAATATTGTTTTGATCCTTAAAATTTTTTTTCTAGTAACACGAAGCCACTTCTTTTCAAGCTAAATATGCTTTTTAAATATGTTTTATTTGGGCATGGTGGAACATGCCTATAATCCCAGCTATTCTGGGGGCTGAGGCATAAGGATCACAAATTTGAGGCCAGTCTGGGCAACTCTGGGAAACTCTAATTCAAAAAACAAACAAACAAAAAAACCAAAAAGAGCTGGGGATGTAGTTTAATGGTAGAACACTTTCCTAGTATGTATAAGACCCTGGATTCAAGTACTCCCTACCAAATGTGTTAGTTTTAATTTCTTAACCATAACTGTTCACTGAATATTTATGGTTCTTTTGTCTTTTTTAAGGCAAAAAAAAAATAAAAAGGTAAAAGTTCTTTTATATTTTGTATTTTTCTAGAAATTGGAACCAGGGGTGCTTTACCACTAGCTACCTCTCCTGACTTTTTTATTTTTTAATTTGAAACAGAATCTTGCTAAATTGCTGAGGGTCTCGCTAAATTGTTAAAGCTGGTCTCAAACTTGAAATTTTCCGGCCTCATTCTTCCCAAATTACTGTGTGATTACAGGCATGTGCCACCATGCCTGACTAAAAGTACTTTCTTTTAAAACAAATGTTAGGACTGTGATATTTTCTGAGCTTTATTCGTAAAATGTCTACTTTTTGACTTCTCACTTCAATTTGACTTTTTCATATAACATTTTGTGGTGTTGTGTGTGTATGTGTGTGTGTGTGTTGTAACATACTTAGCAGTAAAATCCTTTTGTAAGTCTTTTCAGTTTCTGTAATAAAACTAAAAAGTATAGGTCACTTTTTCACTGTTTTTGAATGGTTTTTATTATATAATGTTGTTAAGAGCTTGGTAGCTTCTAGTCCCTTTTATATAAATCTGGAATAGTGTTTTTCAACCTTTTTCAACACTTGGAAGAAATATCAAATTCTCATTAATAATATTAGTTTCTTTTACAAGGGTTTTGGTTTTTTGGTTGGGGGCAAGGTAGGTGCATGGGATATGGATCTCATTTCTTTATGCATTTTGATTCTAGTATCTCCCCCATTTGAAGGCATCCTCTTTCTATTGAGAGTGATAGAAAATAAAAAAAGGAAAGTTAGCTCAATTTTAGGAACATGATTCAAATTTAAACTATAGTTAATAAATATTCCATTAATTCATATATGCAATGTTTACCATGTATCCATCACTAAGACTTTTCCATATTGCCTTTTCTTTCAATGAACTTAATTTTACTTGGAAGTAAAGATAATAAAGCATCAGAGAACAGGTAGTCTAGTTTAATCCTAAATATTTTCAGTATATGACATAGTAGTAAGCCATCCAGTTTCTGTTTTCACAAAAATATAGCAAATTGTTGTTTCTTTTTTTTTTTAATTTAAATAAAATAGAAAGTATACTTATTCACACTAAGGAAAGTTTTAAAGTATAGCATTAGAGACCCTAGAAATCAAATATTCTTTTAACATTTTTAGAGTCAGAGAAGAATAGAATTTGTTATTAGGTTTCAGTTTCATAATTCTTTAATTGTATATGTAAAAGTTATAGCATCACCTTTTTATTTTTTTAATTTGRGGAAGGGTAARCATGAATTTTGAAGTGATTCCAATCAGTCTGAGAAAATTAAAAGTAAAGACAGTAAGATTTGAATTAGTTTTGATTAGAGACTGAGATGATGAGTTTTTTCTTCCTATTAAAATCTCCGTTTCTTCCTATTAAAATCTTCTGGGTGCTGACCCACCCAGAAGTCAGGTAACTGAATGGCTTGAAAAGCAGAAAAGGATAGGTATGAAGTTGTGGAGATACGCATGCACCCCCATCACCACTTGCACAGTCACCTTGTGCTTGGAGCCTATCTAGACAGGAAGGATCTAATGGACTAGGATTTTAGTTAGTTTTTGCTCGTTTTTTTTGTTTATCAGCTCAGGAATCAGACGGAAGCTGTATAGACATAAAAGATCAACAGATTGGGTTTTTTTTTTTTTCAGGGTTGGAGTCAAGGCTAAAGCTGGGTCTAGAGGTTTTAGGGAAGTAGTTCTGCAGTAGTACACTTTCTTCAAATTAATTTATGACGAATTTGATATGTAAAACAGATCATGATGGAACCACCTTAGTTGAAGGTTTGTGGGAATTGCCAGGTGATTGTTTCTGCTGTAGCAGCTACAACAGAGACCACTGTTTGAAAACCACTGGTCTAGGTTCACACAGATGGGCTTCTAGGGGTCCTGCCTATTTCAACATTCTGGGAATTGGCATAGTGAATTCATGTCAGAAAGGTAATAAATTACAATTGGGAAACTGCATTTTAGCATCCAAGGTTTATTAGAAAGAAGATAATATAGCCTTAATTTTTTTTTTCTTTTTACCTTGATATTTCTGCACACAACTAAATGTGGATGGACAAAGGTGTATTTTAGTTGTTACTTTTAGAGTGGGGCTCCAGACATTTCTGAGCCTCTTGATTGTAACACAGATTATTCTGGGGCTTCCAAAAATAACTCAGAAAATTAGATCTGTGGTTTTTCCTTTTTAGATACCAGTCTTTGGATTTTTATAAAAATAATCCAGTTCTAAATGAAAAGGCTAAACGTGGTATTTCTTTCTACTTCTTTATCTGTTCTGCATTTGATTGCACACTTTGCTGAGTGATTTTGTGCCATGCCTGTTTAAGTAACCTAACATTTTGGTTCTGTGCATCTGAGGTTCTTTCTGATTATCTTCATCTCAGACAGTATGTTTCGATCATTTTAGGTAAATGGTGAAAATGGAGTCTGGAGTGTAGCTGCAGGCCAGGATTATTCCCTGTTTTTAGTGGATACAGAAGACTTCCAGCCTGGGTTGTATTACAGTGGCCGGCAGGACCCTGAAGAAGGTGACAGCCCTCCAGAGAATCCCAGTGGTACTAAGACTCCAGTACTTCTCTCCTGTAGTAAGGTGAACAGTAATTGGATCTTAGGCCCACATTCTGTAACACGAGAAGTCTTTGATTGTGTTTTTAATTGTATGTATGCCTATTATTATAAAATAGCAGTGCATGCATATTACTGTGTAATTTACTTGTTTTGTGTATTGTCTATCCTTACTGTGGTGTGAGATTCATGAGGGAAGGGATTTAGGCTTTTATTCACTGCTGTATCCTCATAGTGCATACTTTATTTTTTAAAAATCTTTCCATATTCCTTTATTGGTACATTATAGTTATACATAAAGATTCCCATCTCATTATGTATTTGTACATGTACACAATRTAACAATAGAGTTTGGCCAGCATCGCTCCCCAGCACTTCTTCCCTTCCTACCCTTCTCCCACCCCCTGGTCCCTTTCCTCTACTGATCTTTTGGTTTTCATGAGATATCCTCACCCCCCACCTTTCTTTACCTTTTTCCTCTCTAGCTTCCACATAAGAGAGAAAACATGATTCTTGACCTTATGAGTCTGGCTTATTTCACTTAACATAATAGTCTCAAGTTCATCCACTTTCCTGCAAATGACATGATTTCATTTTTCTTTATGGCTGACTAAAACTCCATTTTGTGTATATACCGAATTTTCTTTAAATAAATTCATCCATTGATAGACAGCTAGGCAGGTTCCATATTTTGGCTATTGTGAATTGTGTTGATATAAACATGGGAGTGCATGTATCACCGTAGTAAGATGACTTTGATTCTTTAGAATAAATATCTTTTGCATAAATATCTTTAGGATAAATATCAAGCTGGATCTTATGATGGTTCCTTACCTAGTCTTTTGAGGAACTTCCATACTGATTTCCATAATGGTTGTACTAATTTACATTTCTCACCAATAGTGTGAAAGTGTTCCTTTTTCTSTATATCTTTCTCAACATTTATTGTTATTTGTATTTTTGATGATTGTCATTCTGACTGGTTGGGATAAAATCTCTAAAGGTTTGCCTGGCATACACCTGTAATTCGAGTGGCTCCGGAGGCTGAGACAGGAGGGTTGCTGATTCAAAGCCAGCCTCAGCAATGGTGAGGCACTAAGCAACTCAGTGAGACCCTGT